AGTGGCTGGGGCTACAGGCGCCGCCACCTCGCCCGGCTAATTTTTGTATTTTTAGTAGAGACGAGGTTTCACCATTTTAGTCAGGATGGTCTCCATCTCCTGACCTCGTGATCAGCCCTCCACGGCCTGCCAAAGTGCTGGGATTACAGGCGTGAGCCACCGCGCCCAGCCTGTTTCTGCATATTTCTAAAAGCATACAGAATGTTATTTCTCTCATCTACCACAACCCTCTTCCCTTTAAGCTACTGCTCCTTTTCTCTCCTTACAGAAAACTCCTTGTATTTGTTTATACTTCTTGTCTCCAATTTCTTTCCTCACTTTCTCTCTTGAACCCAGGCTGATCAGGTTTCCACCTCTACCAGGGTCCCCATGTCACCAGTGACCTTTCTGTTGCTAAGGCCTAGCCATGGTCTTACTTGGCCCATTGGTGGCATTTGACATAGCTGATCCCTGACATGCCTTCTTCCCTTGGCTTCCAGGACACTCTTGGGATTTCCTTCTATCTGTCTCAGTCTTCTTCATTTCTCTGGTCTTTAAATGTAGGATTATGAACTACAGATGACCCCTGACTTACGATGGTTTGACACAATTTTTAGATTTTCCGATGCTACAAAAGCATCACGCAGTCCGTAGAAACTGTACTGTGTGAAAATGAAAAACAGTATGTACAACCATACTGTTTCTTTAGTACAGTATTCAATAAATTACATGAGATCAACACTTTTTTTATAAAATAGACTTTGTGTTCAGTGATTTTGTCCAACTGTAGGCTAATAGAAGTGCTCTGAGCACATTTAAGGCAAGCCAGGCTAAGCACTGGTGTTCAGTAGGGTAAGTGTATTAAATGCATTTTTGACTCATGATATTTTCAACTTACAATGGGCTGACGGGGATGTATCCCCATTGTAAGCCAAGGAGCATTTGTATATAGATGTTATTTATGTGTCCCCATTGTGATGTAAACTCCATAAAGGCAGGAATTGTTCACTGCTATTTCCCCAATACCTAGAACAGTGCCTGGCACCTAGAGGGTGCTCAATAAATGTTGAATGGATGCACAAACAACCGGGAATGCATTTGGGAGTAAGTACACACGTGATTCTAAGTGTGCCATGTGTTCATGCAGCTCCTAGAAGTTGGTGCAAACTATCAGTATGCTTCCGCATTTGAGTGTATTCCTCTGTGGGGTGATGTGACTTAGTGTGTATTTTTGAAGGTTCTTTTTTTTTTTTTTTTTTTTTTGAGACGGAGTCTCACGCTGTCGCCCAGGTTGGAGTGCAGTGGCGCGATCTCGGCTCACTGCAAGCTCCGCCTCCTGGGTTCACGCCATTCTCCTGCCTCAGCCTCCTGAGTAGCTGGGACTACAGGTGCCCACCACCGCACCCGGCTAATTTTTTTTTGTATTTTTAGTAGAGACGGGGTTTCACTGTGGTCTCGATCTCCTGACCTTGTGATCCGCCCGCCTCGGCCTCCCAAAGTGCTGGGATTACAGGCGTGAGCCACCGCGCCCAGCCTTGAAGGTTCTTGAAAGTATGTTTGACTGTGTCGGTGGTACTGTGCCTCCATGGTTCTTTGCGTGTCTCACACGTAAACACATGCCTGAGCTGGAAAATGATGTGAGTACACGAACATGAATGTGTGGGGCTGTGCCTGGGGCTGTGTAATGGGCCTCTGTGTGGGGATATGTGACATGGCTGGTGGCTCTAAGTATGTGCCTAGGAGTGTTCTGTGTTGGGATGCTGGGTATTGAAGGCCATGCACGTGACTGAACATGTCTGTGTTTCTGTATGAGAGAGATGTGTCTGGTTATGGCATATGAATGTACATGGGGTACGTGTGTGGGGATGTGTGTGTGCCTCGAGTGGTTGTGTGGGACTGAATATGCCTGAGTATTTCCGTGGAGAGCGGGGTGTGTAGTATTTCTGTGGAGAGCAGGGTCTGGGGCCAGGTGGGTGGGGTGTGAGTGTGTGGCTCGGAGTGCATGCATGCATTTCTGTATGTATCATCATGCGGGGCTAGGCCTGTTGTGCAGGAACCCATGTGACCGTTAGCAGACACCACAGGCAGCTGTGCCGGTGTCTCCCCGCACTGGCCAGGCTCTCCTCCAGAGGGTGGGTGGGCCGGCAGGCTGAGGCTCTGGGGTAAGAGACTGCTCTGGGCCCAGGGAGGTGGTGCAGATCGACCAGTTCCTGAAGGAGACAGCGGCGCGGGAGGCCAGTGCCAAGCTGCGGCTGCAGCAGTTCATTGAGGAACTCCTTGAGCGGGCTGACCGTGCCGAGCGACAGCTGCAGGTCATCAGCAGCAGCTGTGGCAGCACGCCCAGTGCCAGCCTGGGCCGTGGAGGTGGGGGTGGTGGTGCTGGCCCCAATGCCCGGGGCCCAGGCAGAATGGTGAGTGCCCACCTGCTTTCTCTCCTCTACCTGCACACCTGGTCCCCCACAACCTCACCTTTCACGTGGCTGGATATCTCCCCATGATGCCCCATTCGCCCCTTCTTTGGCTTTTCCCCCACGAGCAGATGCCAGGAACGGGGAGACCCTCTGATTGGGCAGGAGTGCCAGTGCCAGCCCCCGAGGCTGTAGTGAGATATGATTCAGTGACCCCAGCCCTCAGGGGCTATCTCTGCCCATCCCTGCAAATGAGAGTCCAGGAACCACAAGCTGGGGTCCCGGCTGTTGGGTGGGTGTGGGGAGGGGCTGGTGAACCTGCCTCTCTGGGCTGTCTGTCTGTCCATTTGTCCATCTTTCCCAACTGTTTTCCCTTCTCTCTCCTCTCCCCGATTTCCTCTCCATCTTTTTCCCTGTTTCCCCTGCTATTCCTGCTCATCCTCTTGCCTCCTCCGCCCCTCTCCTTTACCTCCTGCTCTGGGGGCCCACAGCGAGAACACCACGCGGGCCCGGCCGTGCCTAGCACATATGCAGTGTCACGGCATGGCTCCTCTCCCAGCACAGGGTAAGCCTTGGGCCCAGCCCACCCCATGCAGCCCACCCTCGCCCTGGAAAGATCCGCTGACCCGTCTGGGGCTTGTGTCATCCTCCTGTCCCTAACCCCCCGGGTCACGTGTGTCTGCCTTTCCACACCCAGAGGGGGCTTTTGGAAAGCAGTGTGGGTGGGTTGCCCTCAGCCGACGGTAGGGGCAGGGTGGGGAGTTTGGGCAGGCCTGGTGCCTCTCACCCCTTACTGTGTGATCCACCCTGCCCCAGGGCCTCCAGCCGTGTGCCAGCCGCATCCCAGAGCTCAGGCTGCTATGACAGTGACAGTCTGGAGCTGCCCAGGCCGGAGGAGGGGGCCCCTGAGGACAGTGGCCCTGGGGGCTTGGGCACACGGGCCCAGGCTACCAACGGGGGCTCAGAGCGGTCCCAGCCCCCTCGCAGCTCAGGCCTGCGGCGCCAGGCCATCCAGAACTGGCAGCGCAGACCCCGCCGACACAGCACTGAGGGGGAAGAGGGTGATGTCTCTGACGTTGGCTCCCGAACCACTGAGTCAGAGGCTGAGGGCCCGTTGGATGCGCCCCGCCCCGGGCCTGCTATGGCTGGGCCATTGAGCAGCTGCCGGCTCTCAGGTAGGTCCCGGAAGGGTTGGCAGGGGGACACAGGTCTGAGGCAGTGAATCTCCTGGACTCCTACACCCCCCTTCCCTTTCCCCAGACTTGCCCACCCCTCCTACATAGCACCCTTCAAGCCTAGGGCAGGAACTCTTGTGACAGGGCAGGGCTGCAGCGGCACAAGTATGCTCAGATTGTCTGATGCACAAGGATGCCACATCTGGGGGACGGGGGGGTCCATTCACGTGGTGGGCTCATCAACATTTATAGGACAGCAGTTGATTGTTGCCTCCCAACTCTGAAGCCCCTGGTGCAGTGGGGGAGAGGCCTCCCACCATATTCACAGAAGGCCCCACACATATGTGGGTGGGTTGGGAGGTGAGAGGGCTAGGCTAGGGTCAGGCTTGTAGCTGCACCCCATGTTCTGGGTAGCCCCATGCCCACCTTCTGTTTCCAGAGGCCCAGTTTATACTGCAGCACCCCCCAACCCCTTTCCCTCTCCAAATCTGGTATGTTGCCTCATGTAGGGGGTGAGTTTGAATGATATATAACCTTAAAAAGGAAGTTTACACAAGGGATGCCTTTTTGTAATTTGTAAAGCTGGAGATGGGGTACCGCAAAGGACAGGGATGCAGAGGCCCCTTTTCCTTCCTCCCTAGGCCCTGGTACCACAGCATGCCCATTGCTCTGCAGCTCCTACCCTGCCCCAGCTCCCCACACACATCCCCATACCAGCCTTGACCCTCCACGCTCACTTTTGAAACCCTTGTATTCTGCAGCCCGCCCTGAGGGAGGCAGTGGACGGGGTCGGCGAGCAGAGAGGGGCAGCCCCTCACGCTCCAATGAGGTCATCAGCCCAGAGATCCTGAAGATGCGAGCCGCCCTCTTCTGCATCTTCACCTACCTGGACACGCGCACACTGCTGCACGCCGCTGAGGTCTGCCGGGACTGGCGCTTCGTGGCCCGCCACCCTGCAGTCTGGACAAGGGTGCTGCTTGAGAATGCCCGTGTCTGCTCCAAGGTGCCTGCCCCTGCCTGCCTTCTGTGCCCTGCTGTGAACCCACCTTTCCCCGTGGGTAGAATCTGGCCCCTGAAGGTCTGGTCCTTGCAACCCTTACAACACTGTAGCGCCAACCTGGCTTCCCTGAAATGCTCTCATGCAGCCTCCTATCCGGGGCTGGCCCACCTCCAGCCAACCAAGTGCAGACCCCTTCATCTCCAAATACTCTTCCCCTCCCCCACAGTTCCTGGCAATGCTGGCTCAGTGGTGCACCCAGGCCCACTCTCTGACGCTGCAGAACTTGAAGCCCCGGCAGCGGGGAAAGAAGGAGAGCAAGGAGGAGTATGCCCGTAGCACCCGGTGAGGCCTGCAGTGGGTGGGTGCTGGGTGCTGTTGGGCCACAGACCTGGAATTAAGTAAGGATGTTTCCCAGAGGAGGAGGTGGCCAGCTCTCTGACCTCTTGGTCATCTCCAGGGGCTGCTTGGAAGCTGGGCTGGAGTCCCTGCTGAAGGCAGCTGGGGGGAACCTGCTGATCCTGCGCATCTCCCACTGTCCAAACATCCTCACCGACCGCTCGCTCTGGCTGGCCAGTTGCTACTGCCGTGCCCTGCAGGCTGTCACCTACAGGTGGGTCAACTGACTAGAAGCATAGCCTGTTCCCTCTAGGCCCAGGGTCCCACGGGATCCCTAGGTGCTGCATAGCTTCCCCCAGGGTTCTCAAGCAAAGGGATCCAAGAGCTCTATGGCTGAAGGGAAGGAAGCTTTGGCAAGAGCAGAGGCCACCAAGAGTGGGCAACTCCAGCTTTGTCTTGTATCTTTTCATTTTCTCTCTCTCTTTTTTTTAATAGAAACGGGGGCTCACCGTATTGCCCAAGCTGGTCTAGAACTCCTGGGCTCAGGTGATCCCCAACCCCAGCCTTGACCTCCCAAAGTCTTGGGATTATCAGCAGCTTTGTCTTTTCACAGGAGTGCCACAGACCCTGTGGGCCATGAGGTCATTTGGGCCCTGGGCGCAGGCTGCAGAGAGATCGTCTCCCTCCAAGTGGCACCACTTCACCCCTGGTGAGCCCTGGCAGGTTTGGGGGATGGGAGGGGAACACAGTTGGGCCTGGTCTGGGGCTGAGGACTGAGCGGATCTGAGCCCATTCTACAAACTATCAGGACAGATTAACACACATTAATCTGTCCATTGAGGCATTAGGAGCAGGGCTTTAAAATCAGACCTGGTTGATTACAGTGACTTACACCTGTAATCCCAGTACTTTGAGAGGCCAGTTTGGGCGGATCACCTGAGGTCTGGAGTTCGAGACCAGCCTGACCAACATGGAGAAACCCTGTCTCTACTAAAAATACAAAATTAGGCGAGCGTGGTGGTGCATGCCTGTAATCCCAGCTACTCAAAAGGCTGAGGCAGGAGACTCACTTGAACCTGGGAGGCGGAGGTTGCGGTGAGCCGAGATTGTGCCATTGCACTCCAGCCTGGGCAACAAGAGCGAAACTCTGTCTCAAAAATAAATAAATAAATAAATAAGTAAATGAAATCAGACCTGGGGTCATGTCCTGGCTTACTGGCAGTGCCACCTTGGGAATCCTAATCGTGTCTTAGTTTCTCAAACTGCAAAGTAAAGATGGTACTAGGAACTATGAACCTTATTAGGGCTGTTGCTGGCCCAAATGAGATCAGGTACACAAAGCCTGCAGGGTCTACAGTAATTGTTCAGTAAACACCAGCTAAAAACCACCAGCTTTGTTTGACATATGAAAGGTGGTTCAGGGAGGTCAGTGTATGAAAGAGCTGGTAGTTGGAGAATCCAGGTTATGAAATCATTTCTCACTCTGCTTGGAGTTCCTCTAACACACCAGGCTCTTTTGCTCCTCTCCACGCGACAGCTCCTCCCAGCCATCCAGTGTGCCTTCTGTAACACCCTGGGTAGAGCGTATCACTGGTCCCCTGCCTCAATCCCCACTGCATTTTGCCCTGATCCCTCTGTCATCTACTTTGCAATAATTTCTTTTTTTTTTTTTTCTTTTGTGAGACGGAGTCTCGCTCTGTCACCCAGGCTGGAGTGCAGTGGCCAGATCTCAGCTCACTGCAAGCTCCGCCTCCTGGGTTCACGCCATTCTCCTGCCTCAGCCTCCCAAGTAGCTGGGACTACAGGCATGGGCCACCACGCCCGGCTAATTTTTTTATTTGTAGTAAAGACAGGCTTTCACCATGTCGGCCAGGCTGATCTCGAACTCCTGGCCCCAGGTGATCTGCCCGCCTCGGCCTCCCAAAGTGCTGGGATTACAGACATGAGCCACCACACCCAGCCCTACTTTGCAATAATTTCTTGATATTTCGATCTCCTACACTAGGCGGGTGGTTCTCAAGGCAGAATCTAGGAATGTCCATTTCTGTATTCCTGGTATCAAGTACATAATAGATGCCAGCCAGAGAGATGTCTGTTGCCTGGGCAAATGATGAGGGATGAAGTGTTCAGGGAAATGGCGTTTGGTATGAATGGAAAGGAAAGTTGGGGCAATCAGGAAGGGCCTTGCTAAGGAATTTAGGTTTTTTGCATTTTATCTAGAAAGTATTGGAAGCTATTTGGGGGGATTTTAGATTTTAAGAAAGGGATTAAGATCAGACTGGTAATGTTCTATGCCCCTCACCACTTTCCTGCCACCAAAGAGACTGTCCACTCTTTGAGGGCAGGGACCGTGTCTATGTTGTCAGCACTGCACCCCAGGGCCTAGCTCAGTTATTGTTGACTTGATAACCACTTGCTGAATGGCGGAGTGAGTGGCTGTAGAAATGAAGGGCTCCCTGTCTACAGTGTGGAGGATGAGATGGCAGGGAGACTAGTGTTAACCCAGAGAATGCCAATGGTGGTCTGAACTGTGGGTTCAAGAGTAGTTAAGGCCGGGCACAGTGGCTTACACCTGTAATCCCAGCACTTTGGGAGGCCAAGGCGGTGGATGACTTGAGGCCAGGAATTTGAGACCAGCCTGGCCAACATGGTGAAACCCCGTCTCTACTAAAAGTACAAGAAAATGAGCCAGGCATGGTGGCGCATGCCTGTAGTCCCAGCTACTTGGGAGGCTGAGGCAGGAGAATCGCTTGAACTCAGGAGGCAGAGGTTGCAGGGAGCCGAAATTGCACCACTGCACTCCTGCCTGGGTGGTAGAATGAGTCCCTGTCTCAAAAAAAAAAAGAAAAAAGAGTGCTTGGGAATCAGAATCTGCAGGACTTGGTGGATGAGATGAGGGCAGAGGAGTCAGGGATGATCCCGGTTTTCTGACTTGACCAGCTGGGTTGTTGGAGGAACGCTTGCCTGAATCAGGGAGGGGTCCCACAGGAGGAGCATGCTGGGGTGTCAGGCATCCAAAGACCTCCCTGACGGCTCCCCCTTCCCGTTCTCCAGCCAGCAGCCCACGCGCTTCAGTAACCGCTGCCTGCAGATGATTGGTCGCTGTTGGCCCCACCTGCGGGCCCTGGGGGTCGGGGGTGCCGGCTGTGGGGTGCAGGGCCTGGCATCACTTGGTGAGTCTTTCCTTGGACTGGGGTGGCGGGTAGTAAGAAGCAGGCATGGGTGCAGTGCTGCCCAGTGAAATCCCACAGGGGCCTGGGGCTGCAGCCTGGGTGGTGGCAGGTGGAAGAGTGGTGGCCAGGGTGCTGGCTGCAGGGGTGACCTGGGGGGTTTGTCAGCAGGATCCCCCTTCTTCCTCTTCCTAGCGAGAAACTGCATGCGGCTGCAGGTCCTGGAGCTTGACCATGTGTCAGAGATCACCCAGGAGGTGGCGGCAGAGGTCTGCCGGGAAGGCCTGAAGGGATTGGAGATGCTGGTGCTCACAGCGACTCCCGTCACCCCTAAGGCCCTGCTGCACTTCAACAGTGAGCAATGGGGAATGCGGGGCAGGGTATGACTATCACCTGCCACGGGGCTCTATCAGCAGGTAGCCTAACTATCACTGGGGCAGATGGATCAGGGCCTCCAGCCAAGGGCAAAGGCAGGGGGACAGGTTAAGAGCACTGGTTCTGGAGCTTGACTGACCTAGGTCCCAGGTCTGGCTCTGCTACTTATTAGCTGAGTGATGTTGGGCAAGTTACTATACCTCTCTGAGTCCTGTATTCCCATCTTCTAAGTTGACTTTCTAGGATGAGTGAGAGGATTAAATGGGATATGTGAAAGCTCCCCCCACCCCCCGCCCCAGGACAGTTCTCAGGGTGAAGACTCCTCTCTCCCTGGACTCCAGATCATACCTCCTTGGCTTCCACACCTTTCTCAAACCACCCACTCCACTCTCAGTCACTACTCCACCTGCACTGAGGACCCTCTTTCCAAGACCACCTTCCCCCTTCAGCCACATGGCACTCCCTGGACTTTATCACCAGAACTAACTGCTCAGCCTCCAGAATCATGACCTCTAGGCCCTTCTCAGCCATCTGATCTTCCTCCACCTCCCCCGACTTCACGCCATATCCAGTTCCTTAAGCCGTCTGTTCCCAAGTGTTTGTCCCACCTCCCCCTCCTTTGTGCTTGAGCCTGGATCCGCGAGCCTCACCTCAGCCACTCGGTTCCTTGTCATTCATCCCCAAATGCCCAGACCATGGTATAGCTGCCCCCTGTGTCAGGGAAGTTCCTAGAGGCCTTGGACAACTGGCGGCTGCCCACTCACCCTCCCAGAGGCCACTGCAGCCTCTCCTGTCCCTCAGCCCCACCTACCTCTCCCCGCATCTTGTCGCAAGCCCCCAGGTGGCATGGGTCCTGTGTCGTGTTCCCGGTGGCTGGCACCTGATTGTCTGATTTCATTAATTAGTGAGAGGAGAGGAGGCAGCTCCACAGCCCAGGCCAAACCCGCCCCTGCCTTGCCCACCTTTTCTCAGGCATCTGCCGGAACCTCAAGTCGATTGTGGTCCAGATTGGGATTGCGGATTATTTCAAAGAGCCCGGCAGCCCTGAGGCCCAAAAGCTGTTTGAGGACATGGTGACAAAACTCCAGGTGAGGGGTCGGCTCTGAGGCTGTCCAAGACCCCAAGTGGCATCCCTGAACTGGGGCTGGTGACCTGGGTGAGTGTGGCAGGAGGGAGAACTAACCCAGGGTTCGGTCCGCAGGCCCTGCGACGGAGGCCCGGCTTCTCTAAGATTCTGCACATCAAGGTGGAAGGCGGCTGCTAACCCGGGTAGGGGGCGGCAGGGCCCCTGCCAGCCCCATATCAGGGCACTCTCTTTGGACCTCAGAGGGACCCTGGTTTGGACTAGACCTTTGGAGGCCAAGTGTTATCCTTGGCTTCTGGAGGGGGACTGACAAATCTCCTGTCCTCCTCCTGGAGCAGCGGAGCAACAGGCCTGACCCAGGGCACTGCTTCCCTAGTACAGGGGCTTGGACAGAAGCTGCCCTCCGACCCCGACCCTACCCCGGCTGGAGCAGCCTCTGGCACAGCCATTGAGGAGCTGTCACCACCAGCGCCTGGTGTCATCATCACCTGGAGGATCTGCAATAACCACCCAGTGGCTCCTCAGCTGTTCTGGCCGGCCTCTCCTTCCTGAGGCCCAGCCTCCTGGTCAGGAGCCTCTGGGGCCCCAGGCCAGCGGGGGCTCCACAGGGCAGCTCAGACTTGGCAAGGAGGACTCTTCTCCCCAACCCTGCCCCAGCCTTCTGGGGGCACCCCTTCAGACAGCCTGCCTAGGCTCTGGATCCACATTTTCTGGGGATACCACAGGCAGACCTAGGAACCTGGGCACGTGGTCAGCCAAAAGCTGGGGGCAGCAGTACAGTGGGGTAGTGGGGGTGGGTTTGGAAAGGAAACAGTCACCCAGAACTTCTCTCCAGGATGAGACCACCCTTCCACGGTGGGGGATTGCCAGGGGGAGGAAACTTATTTATTGCTGTAAGACAAGACCCCTCCTCCCAACCCCACACCCCACCGCATACCAGAGCTAAATTCAAAGCTGAAAGGCGCACCTTTTTATACCTACATTCATTCCTGAGGGACCCTCCAGAGGGTCCAGGTCCCAGCCCCAGGCAGCCCTGTCACAGTGAGAAGTACTTCCTGTCCTCAAAGAATTTCCTTCTAATCCAGGTGCTTGGGCAGGAACCTGATGGCCTTCGGGTCACCAAGGCTGTCTGGGAGGGAGGCACGGGGCCGCCCTCTGTGCTGAGGCCGTGGAGGAAGCCAGGAGGAGGGTGGCTTGCTTTGCTTCCTTGTCTAATTAGCTTGCTTGAAGATGTAGCCTTGGCAGGGAGCCAGACCCATGGGGCCAAGGAAGAGGAAGAGCATCCTCAACAGACTCACTCCCCCTTCCTCGGTCTCCACGGGCCCCATGGGCTGAGGGCTGCATTGGGGTCTTCTGCCTAGGGGAAGTGCTGGACCTGGGCTGGAACCACTTGGCTTAGAAGCCACAGGATTCCAGTGGGGCTTTTCACTGGCCTTTGCAGTCCCCAAAGGATCAGGTCTCAGAACCAAGGCTCCAAAGGCTTGAGGTCTCCCCAGTTCCTCCTCTCAGAACTCCCATAGTGGCTCAGAGGCCGGGGGTCCTACCAACTCTCATTTGGAAAGTTCTTTCAAACATCTAAACTAGATCTATCTTAGGGTTTCTTTCTCTCCTAGATAGGATCAGCTCCCAGCCCTAGCCATTCGGCTGCTGGTCCTGGCTGGGGATGGGGTCCCCTCGTTACCCAGTCCTTCCCAGGAACCCAACTCCCTAACGCAACCTGGCTTGGACATGAAAACCCAGCCCTCGGTTACCTTGTAAAGAGTCCTCCAGAGCTGGGACCCCACGGACGCAGCAGCACACCCAGCTCCCATGGCGTCACTCCCTAGCTCTGTCCCAGATCTTGCTATCATTGTTGACTTTTCCTCCTGTGGCTTGTTCTGTCCCTGCCCTTTGAAAATCTAAAATACCAAGGGTGTCATGCTGGCAACTCCCTGCCCAGTCCTGCACGAAGCCTTGGCTGTGTGTGGCACCCCCTGCCCCTACCCCAGAGCCGCTGGCTCCATTGGCTTCTCCCTGCACCAGCCCTGTCCTCAGGGGTCAGGAAAAAGCAGCACGGCTTTCTTTCCTCTCCTCCAGAGGCCTGGAAGGGAGGTGGAGGCCCACTAAGGGCCTGGATACCTTGGATTTGTTGGTCCTGCCTTGCCAACTGCACACTGCAGCTCCTGCTCCCTGTGACCCCAGAACCAGAGGTGCTGCCTTCCCTGTCTCCTGGACAAAGCACAAAGGGATGCCCTGCTTGGCTTCAGCCTGCCCAACTGAGGGATTTTCTCTGTCCCAGGGACCTTCCATCCCTGAATACAAGGCTCTGGGCAACGTCTCTCCGGGTGGTACACACTAGAATGCCTGGCATTAGCCCTGGGAAAGGAGGTTGGGGCATATGGGCAGCGAGCTAGGGGGGAGAAAGGTGGTGCTGAAAGGCCAGAACGCTAGTTGCCGTTTCACTCATTCATTCATTCGTGCAACAGTACCGAGCACCACCAGCACTGGAGGCAGAGGGGTGAACAAGATACCCTTCTGCCTGGGGGACGTCCACTTCCCACGGGTTTGGCTATTTCCAGGAAAGCCCCTCAGTCCTCCACCTTGTTCTGGCTGTGTGTGAAGGATATGTGTGAGCAGGCCCAATCCTTTGCAGCAGGAATGAGAGGTCAGAGTATCCCACTGCACACGTACCCCCGGGCTGACAGACTTGTGCCCCCCAGCCTTCATGCATGCCTGAGCACTGGCAGCGTTGCAGCCCCTGCCCCACCAGCCCCTTGACGCTCTTCTTTTGTTCTCTCCTTGGGGATGAGCCCTGCTGCTGAGTAGGGAGCTTTTGCTTGCTGGGAGGCTCTATGCATTGATTTCTTTGGCAACCATACAGCTAGGGCTGAGGATGGGAACAAGGACAGAGGGCCTGGCTATCCCCAGAAGCATTTCATCCATCTTTACCCACCCAAAGGGATCCCTCCACATCTCATACCCAGTAAGATGCAAGAAAGGAATATCTGAGAGCAAGCAGCCCTGCTCCAGGGGACCCAGGTATGTGTAGAGGCCCAGTGGGGGTGGCCACTTGGTGTTTCTACCACCCCCTGCCATCCAGTCTGGCTCCAGTGCCTACCTGGGAGGTTGGTGTACTTGGCTTAAGTACTTCATGCTTTATTTAGGCTGCTTCCCCACAGCACCGACAGGAAATGAAGATGCACTTACATGCATCCCTGTGGGAATAAAGAGTGGGTGGGCTGCCCAGCACCACGGCCTTTCCCCAGCCAGGAGAGACCACCTAAGGATCAAGGCAGCTCCTGTTTTCTTGGTCCTGTGACACTCGAGTCTGAGCCAGCCCCTCAGGAATTGCCTCGAAAGGCGGGGGGGAAAAAAAAAAAAAGGGCCTCCTTCCCAAGGCCTCCTACTCCAAGGTTTGGCTCCATCCCTTGCCTTTGGGTCCTGCCTATTACCCTGGTCCTGGTTTCTAATCTTTGGGGCCACAGGTGGGGAGTCACCTGGGCCCCAATCCCTCTAAGGCGCTAAGTTGAAGGAGGCCTTCCCAGAGTGACTATTGGTGCCAAAGTCCCAGTTCCTGTTGGACTTGGGGTAAAAACAGGAGAGAGAGTGAGTGGGTATATGGCCCAAGTGCCCAGAGAAGTTAACTCGAACCCATGGGACATGTCCCAGCCTGTCAGTCCCTGATGAGTGTAACTTCCTTCCCCTGGGGGCCTGGTCCTTCTCTCTACCCCAGTGGCCATGCTTTCTCACCCAGCCTTGTGCCCGGCCTGCATTTCTGTATATATTGCTGTGTATTGTGTGTATGTATGTATTCCTGGACAAGTGTGTTCATCTGCAGCCCTTGCCTGAGGATAAGGTTTAGGATTGGGTAAAGATCAGAATACCAGGGCCAGCTAAGGCAACGACTCCCTCCCCAACCCCTTGGGACCTCAGCCAGTCCCAAGGCTGCCCTGACAATCAGGCAGGCTCCCCACCATGAGACTAAGCCTCCTCTGCCACTGCCAGCATGGGCCAAGGGAGGCTTGGCCTTGGGCTTGCCAGCCTCAGCTCTGCCCTGGCAAGGGTCTTGTATCCAGGGCAGAGGCCTGAGGTGACCCAGGCTTGCCTTGTGGCTGATGCCAGCAGGCTTGGTTCTAGTGGGCACCACTGGTGGGTGACCTCCATAACTGGCCCTTAGGCCCTGCCTTCCTGCACAGCTAGGCTATAATGGGCCTGAGCGTGAGAGGGTAGCTTCCCCAGCCCCAAGCATAGGCAGAGGGGTGGAAAGCAATTTTTGGTTTTATTTTTGTTTCTGAAGTGGTGCCTGTACCTCCAGCCCCCAGGGGGCCTTTCCTGGCCACACTTCTCTGCCCCACCCAGGCATCGCCATCCCAGCACTTTGCTCCATGTCACCCATAAGATGCCCTTTGCTGAATGTACCTGAGTGTATGTATTTAAAAGGACTCACATGGGCATCAGAGAATTTATGGCTCTGTATCCAATAAAAAAGATGGTGAAACTGGTATATCTGCCCCAGAAAAGTAAATGGTATTGTGGCCACACTTGGTCATCTGTGTTATCATGGTCTTTCTGCAGCTCAAGTGTACAAAGGCAGGTAACCCAGTGGAATGAAGTATTAGCAAGACTTGCCAGCGGGCACAGTTGCTCACACCTGTAATCCTAGCACTTTGGGAGACTGAGGTGGGAGAATTGCTTGAGCCCAGGAATTCGAGACTACTCTGGGCAACATAGTGAAACCCAATTTAAAAATCAGCTGGACATGTGCCTGCAGTGCTAGCTACTTGGGAGGCTGAGGTGGGAGGATATCGAGCCAGGGAGGTGGAGGTTACAGTGAGCTGAGATCACGCCACTGTACACTTCAGCTTAGGTAACCGAGTGAGGCCCTGTCTCAGAAACAAAAACTTGCCTCAGGAGTGCAGAAAAGCCACCTAGGGTTACTGTCCTGCCACCGCTCAACCCTGCTTTCAGTGTGTGCATCCAGAGGAAATGCCTTGAGATACATCATTTCTTACTCTCAGCTGGGAGACTACCTTCAAGGGCAAATTCAGCACCAGTACAACAGGGCAGCAGGCACTGCCCATCCCCTCCCTGGATTGGCTGCCTCAGGAGGCTCTGGCCAATCAGGCTTTGACTGTGGGAGATCAGGTTGCCATCATGGTCTGGCCTTGACTTCCTCATCCAAAATGCCCTTGTGCCACTGACTTGATTCCTAGGGTCTCGAAATATTTAAAATCAGAAAAAAGAGTAAGTGTTTTAGGCTTAAATTGTGTCCCTAACATCAAGTAAAATGAACATTTAAGTCTCACTACTCTTTGAGACAGCTACTCTTACCCTGTCATACAGGTAGAATAGCAGAGGCTCAGAAAAATTAGTCTACCCAAAGACCATCAAGTTAGGAGGAATGCTAGATTCCAAAGCCTGGACCTGCCCACCACCCTCTGTGCTTTTGAGTCCATCTAACCAGGAGTGACTGGGTTCAGATAATTTTTTTAAAAAAATCCCTTTCCAGTTTTAGCTAGCAAGTCTCAATGGCTGACAATGACATATTTACCTCCAGCTTTAACAACGACCAACTACAGAAGGGTGCAGGCCAGCTATCAGGACCAGTGTAAATGAGGAGGATGTTAGACACTGCTGGATTTCCAGCTCATCTGTGCCAGCCATTCCAAACTCCCATTGGTCACAAGAAAGCAAAACGACCAAGATCACTGGGGGCTAAACTGAAAAGACCAGGGGGGTGCTTTCAGTCATCTCCTTAGACGACTTCCAAGGGATCACTAGAGTTTAGAGAGCATGAGACCCTCCCTAAAACACCCTTCTCACAGTCTTGAGTAAGAGGGAACAAAAGACTAAACCAAAAGAATATGGAGATAGAAGGGGCAGACAAGGTAATATAACCCATTCACTCAAACCAGAGAAACCCTGGGAGCAGTGCCTGGCTAGGCCAGGGCTAATACGATGATGCTAGAAGAAAGCAACTGCATGTTGTCCAGCCACTTCTGGAACGAAGAATGCAACCATAGTAAAACTTCCAGACAGGGGCCACTCTAGTGGAGCTGACCCCAGAATGCTCTTGTCTCCCTGTTGGACGAGTGCACGTAAAGCTAAAATTCGGAGCTACAGCCAGACATTTATGAGTACTGTGCCAAAATAATTTACAAAGTTATCCGAAGTCTTACATTTTATTTAAATAGCCTCCAGTGAGAAGAGAGTGGGCCAATTACTACCCCTTCCTTGTAAAATGAAGTAACCAAGCCAAGGAGAGTAGGTGCACCCAGCAGCCAGCCAGTCATGTGACAGGTGGGGTGCCTCTCAGTGCGGGCGGCCTCGACCACGGCCCCGGCCTGCTGCTGGGGGAGCATCCACAGTTGAACGGGGGTTCTTGATGGTTTCATCTACAGACACGATCAGGCACGCAGCCTCAGAGGCTGCTGTCAACGCATTGATCCGCACCATAGCTGGCTCCCACACGAAGGCCTCAAAGTTGTCAGCAATGTCCTCGTTGTTGATGTCCACCCCATACCATGTGCCCCCCTGAAAGAGTAGGAAAAGAAAGGAGGTAATATGAAACTGCTTTCAACTTTCCTCTTGTAAACTGGTACTCCAAAAGACACTGCTAGGAACCCACAGACTCTCTCAACTTGGTGGCATTTTGCTGAAGAATACTGCATCTTCCTATGGCAGCATGTCAGGAACCTGGAAACATCCCTACTCCCGCCAACTCCTCCCTTTAACCCTGGACATACCACACAAGACCTCTGGGATCTTCTCCCAGGCAAGCTGTTGTGTTTCGGGGTAGCCCCATCCTCAGGTCACCTGAGGACTATATATCTATCAAACAATGAGTTCCCAAGATAAACAAGAATGACAAAAATACTATTCAATCTCTCATCTCATTGCTTCAAATAGACCAATTTTACAGATGAGGCAAGTGAGACACAGAGATAAAGTCACTTTAAGCAAAAGTCCTAATACAAGCCAGAAGCAGGGTCATTCACTGGGTGCTGAGCACTTAACAAACCCACATCTATTTAACAAACGGAGAAATTAAACTCTCAGAGAGGTTGAAGTAACTAACCGAGGGTCACACTTGGAGGGCTCTGGAGGGCTTCACCACACTGATAAGCCCACTCTATGTAGTCAGCGTGTGCTTCCAGGAAGGTGGATGCAAGGTTCCTCCTGTGGTACCATGAGGAGCATCATACTTTTTTTTTTTTTTTTTTTTTTTTTGAGACAGAGTCTCGCACTATCACCCGGGCTGGAGTGCAATGGCACGATCTATGCTCACTGCAACCTCTGCCTGCTGGGTTCAAACGATTCTCCTGCCTCAGCCTCCCAAGTAGCTGGGATTACAGGTGCCCACCACCACACCTGGCTAATTTTTGTATTTTTAGTAGAGACAGGGTTTCACTATGTTGGCCAGGCTGGTCTCGAACTTCTGACCTCATGATCCACCCACCTCAGCCTCCCAAAGTGCTGGGATTATAGGCGTGAGCCACCGCGGCCAGCCACAATCATATTCTTGGTAGAAGCAATGAAGAAACCCTGGATCTCCAGTGCTAGCACCATGGCTTTCCTTCTGCCCTCAGAGGAGGCAGGTGGTCAGGTAGACAGGCTGGGTGGAGTTGCAGCCTATCTCCTGGGCTAAGCGTGAACAGCTTGAGTAAGCACAGCTCACATTCAGAACCCAGCCCACCTGCCCAAACCCGGAACCCTGGGGAGAAAAAGGACCCACCTGGGCATGCCGAGCCCGCAGTTTGTTGAGAATGTTTGTGGCATCAAAGCCAGCATTGTCACACAGCTGGCGTGGGATAATCTCCAAGGCCTTGGCATACGCCCCAATCAACAGCTGCTGTTTTCCTGGAATAGTCCTTGAGTAATCCCGCAGGTACTTGGAGAGCTCCATCTCAATGGCCCCGCCACCAGCCACCACTGAATCATTCTGCAGAGATCAGACCTCTCAATGGAAGAAGGCCCCTGGTCCAAACTTCCATGCGGGGCCACTCAGTAGGTCCCTTCAGTCCAGAAAGAGTGGTTCTTCATTCCTTCCTCCATCCCAAGCCCCAAAAGCCCAGACATAGCCCCTATCTAGAACATCCCAACTTCAACCTGAACCTTGTGGTTTCTATTTTCAAGGTCACCTGCAGCTCAAGGACACTGGCACAATTACTGGAATACCTGACTACATTAGCTCCACAGTTTGCTAACAAAATCAAGTGTTTCTTCTGCTTGCTCTGTTGCCCAGGCTGGAGTGCTGTGGTGTGATCATAGCTCATTGTAGCCACCAACTCCTGGGCTCAAGGGATCTTTCCACCTTAGCCTCCCAAGTAGCGGGGACTGACTACAGGCACATACCACCATTCCTGGCTAATTTTTTTTTCTGTAGAGACAGGGTCTCGCTATGTTGCCCAGGCTGGTGCCAAACTCTTGGCCTCAAGCAACCCTCCCACCTCGGCCTTCCGAAGTGTTGGGATTACAGGTGTGAGCTACCACACCTGGCTAAAAGAACAAGTCTTAGCTTTCAAGGCAGGATGACCTATTTTTGAGAAACGGAGGCTCAGTTTCTCTACCATTTGTGGGGCAAATCAGGGCTCACCACACCACCCAGGAAAGGGCAGGTTATATAGAGAAGGAATCACCACACAAATCCAAGGTCTGATCAGCTAGGGAGATGAGAATAGGCTGTGCAGGCAGGAGGCCATCAGCCCCGTACCTTGATGGCCCTCCTGACGATCATGATGGCATCATGCAGGGACCGCTCTGTCTCCTCCATAAACTGCTCGGCACCGCCACGGAGGATGAAGGTACATGTCTTGGCCTTGGGGCAGCCAGTAAAAAAATTGTACCTAGGCCCAGGATTAAATAGTACACACATGAACTCTTGTCTGCCACCGTCCTACTGTATTGCCCTCACTGCCAGCCCTCCCAACACTCAGCAGCTGCTCTTACATTCTTCACTCAGGTTACCCAATCCCAACCTTACAGACGCTTTCTTGGAAAGGTCTACAACTGTACCGCCAGGTCATAGAAGATTGTGGAGTCAAGGCTTTAGATCTTCCTGTAATGCTGTACATTATCTGAGCTCTTTATGGCTCAAAGGTGAGACTCTGTAAAACCTGTATACCACAGCCGAAAGATGGCAGAAGACCAGATCCAGGCGGGTTGTGAGCTCGGCCTGGGCCCACGGCTCACCTCTCGCCTCCAATCTGGGTCTCTTCAAACACCTGGCATCGACCCAGCACATCTGCTGACAGAGCATTCACACTGGTCTGGATTGAGCCTCCACACGCCTAGGGAGCAAGGAAGGCAAGATCTAGCAGTGAAGGTTCCCGAGGCCAGGTAGCTTCCTGCCACCTCGTCTCAAGGCCAATTCCCATGCCTCTGCATTACCCGCCCTTTCCCTTGACTTCCAGGCGACCCTTCCCCACCTCTGAAAGAGCAAAAAACCAAAACAGAACTAAAACACATCAAGGGCAAACAGGAGAAGTTAAAAAGGAGATAAGGACCCATTC